CGGCTCACCATGGTCTAACAGCACCCTTGCTGCACAATCAAGATTTCAGCGCGGCATGGAGCTCTCTGCAAGCCCAGAAAAGGACTGGCCATGTGTCTTTGATGGGCGCAACAGTTCTGCTACCTGGGAGTTTCGGGGGCCTTGTCTGCAGAGGTAACCCTCTCCGGGATGGAATTCCTTTCATACTTCCCTACTTCAGAGGGCTGCCTCCACCAATGACCCGCTTTCTGTTCTGTGAAGACGATTCCTGCCACCCATGGAGGATCTTTTCTCATTTCCTACCTTCGTCCTTGAGTTGGAAAGCCCCTGAGATGAGATCTGAGGTATTCCCGGTTGCATCTCCTGAGCACCTTGTGCAGCGGAAGCGCATGCAGTCGGCACTCTCTAACTGCTGCCTGAAGGAATGGCTGGACGAGGAACCTCACAGAGCAAGAATACAGCTGCTACCTGAACACATCGCTCTTGCCAGCAGGCTGCAAACAAGCCCAAGGACGTGGCGAGTGGAGATCCCTGGGGGGCTATGACGGAGCCCTGGGCACCCTGGCTGAAACTGAGGGAGGGTCTCAAGACACTGAGGGGGGCAAAAGCAGCAGAGGTCCCAAGAGGTCAGAGAGGAGCGGGGCAGGTGGGTAGGGCCTAAAGGCCCTGAAGCACCGTGCTGTACTGGACAGGCCTGTGCGGTGACCTCGAGGCCCCCTCCCCGTGTCGCACAGACGTGCAGGGCGAGGGGCGGGGGGGCTAGGCACTCACTGCAGGCTGATGTGAGGGGGCAGCTTAAAGGAGTTTTTCAGGATGTGGAGCTGCTGGACCTTCCCCGGCTGCCCGGCATGAATAGCCCCTGTTATCTCAAAGGCCCAGGCGTCCCTCTCTTCTCGGGAACAGGCCTCCAGGAAGTACTCGGTGGACGTTTGAGTCTTCAGCTTAATGAGGAGCTGCAGGAAGAGACAGCCGGTCAGACCAGCACTCAGAGGCCTAGCGGGCAAGAGGATGGTGGTGGGGCAGCAAAGATGACAGGGCCACAGCAACCCGGGACACACAGGTCCAGCAGCTGCCGAATGCCCAGCCGCTCGGCCACATCCCAGTGGGTGGTCTTCAAAGATCCCCTTGCACACCTCAAGCCACAGGGAGCTCTTGGCCTCCTAAGGTAAGCTTTCCCTCCTGCACAGACTATATAGCGTAGGGACTGCTTCCTGGGCACTTTGCGTCCCTGCTTCTGACTCTGCCTTCGAGAACCATACAGACTAACCTTACCTCCCACGACAGCCCCTGGGCTGAAGTGGGAAATGCACTGGCTTTCAAGTCAGACCGATCTGAATGCAAATCCCAGCTCTGCCACTTAGCTGTGGACGCTTGGGCACATTAAGGGACCCCACCGGGCCTTTCTTCATCTGTCAAATGGGGATATGAACCCCTACCTCGGAGGCACTGTTCCTTACGCTCCCTTCCGTGCTCGTCTTTAGTCTAAGCATCCCCAGTCTTTCACACACTTCTCATAGGGTACGGTTTAAACTCTTAACCAGCTCATGCTCTGCTACACGTTCTGCAGTTGGTCAACATTCTCAGAAGCTCTGACCCATAGAACGGAACCAGCTGCTCCGGGAAAGCTCTGAGGGATGCGGGGTGCACGGGGCCTGCAGCCCGAGCTCACACTGGCGGCCCAGTAGACTAGCTCCGTGCAGTCAGCCGAGTCCTTCTGAGGTAGGCCGCATCTCCTCCATTCCCTAAATGTGCATTGAGGAGTTTTTTTTGACCATTGTGGGATTTGGATGCTGACCCTATTAAATGTCATCTGAGTGGACTGGGCCTACCACTTCTGTTGTAAAACAGAGGCATTCTTTTTTTTTTTTTTTAAGATTTTATTTATTTATTTGACAGAGAGAGAGCGCGCACACAAGCAGGGAGAGCGGCAGGCAGAGGGAGAAGCAAACTTCCCGCTGAGCAGGGAGCCCGATGCAGGGCTCGATCCCAGGACCCCAGGATCATGACCTGAGCTGAAGGCGGACACTTAACCAACTGAGCCACTGGGGCAGCCCAGAGGCATTCTTTCATTCCCATTCTGGTTTCCAATGTATTAGCTCCCAACTTGCTTCGCTTGCAAACTTAACATCCCTCCTCTCAACTAACAGCAAAAGCGGTGCTAAGACAAGGCTGGCTCACAGTCCCAAAGAATACCATGAATCTGTTCCTCTGAGTTAACACTGACTCGCTCATCAGCATTGTGGGAGAACAAATTCAACCAGCTCCCCGTACCTGCACTATCAGTGGGCAGTCAACATTTTAATGAAAGAATTTCAGGAGAGACTATAAAATTCCATGTGAAATCCAGGCATACTCTTCTATAGCTTCCCTAATTTAAAATATATATATATATATATACACACACACACATATACACATATATATGCTTTATAACTTGTTCTTAGTGAACCTATGGGCTCCTCTTGACCTCTTCCAGCTCAAGGACTCATGAGCCAGGCAGATGACAATCTGGGAATTAACATGAAGCTCACAACTCCAGTTAGCAAATTTAACTTGTGTCCTTTTTTGGAAGTTTTTCCATATCTAGCCAATTCGACCAGCACTTTCGCTTTCTACTGTTCCTTAAAGAGTATTAAGGGGCATTGGGTCAACAAGTTAACCTACAAGTTCTGGGGTGTAATTTATGGAGAACTAGAGCCTTAAATTCACTTAGAAAATTAGGGTTGTTTTCTCTTAAAATCATCTCACTTATCTGTAAATTTGTTTTCTTTCTTAAACATTAATTCAGTGGCTCAGTCGTTGAGCGTCTGCCTTCGGCTCGGGTCATGATCCTGGGGTCCTGGGATCGAGCCCCGCATCGGGCTCCCTGCTTGGCAGGGAGCCTGCTTCTCCCTCTCCCACTCCCCCTGCTTGTTCCCTCTCTCTCTCTCTCTGTCGGATAGATAAATAAAATCTTAAAAAGAAAAAAAAAAAACAAACATTAATTCAGCAAGCATTTGTTAATCGTCTGCTATGTGTCCAGACACCATGTTTGGTCTTCCGATGCAATAAGGAGGAAGGTGCAGCCCCAGTCTGCCCAGGCTGGGCATTCTCTGGCAGCCCTACCTCCACCCAGCAGAACACTACTTGTCCTTCTTCATCATCAGCCCGTGCAGGTTGGCAGTGGGTAACTGTAGAAGGGCATTTCCTTTTTGCAGCCTCCTAGGCTGGAATGACCCTCACCACCTCCCTCTCCTTTGCCCTCAACATCCAGTCAACCATGTCTTATGGACATTTCATTCATAATGTTTTCTTGTGTTCCCCCTACTTTTTGCCTTATTTCATGCCTCATTATTTTAATAGCTCCCTTTTTTTTCTTGAGAAAGATTCAAAACTACAAAAGAGTACAGTGGTTAACATAACAAATACCAGGAAACCCACCACCCAGAAAGGACAGTCATGAATATTTTCTTATACTTGGAAGGCTTGTCAATCAGTCTAAAAGAGTCAAAGAAGAAAAACATGGTAGGGACGCCTGGGTGGCTCAGTTGTTTAAGTGGCTGCCTTTGGCTCAGGTCATGATCCCAGGGTCCTGGGATTGAGTCCCACATCAGGCTCCCTGCTCAGCGGGGAGTCTGCTTCTCCCTCTGCCTCTGCTCCCTCCTGCTCGTGCTCTCTCTCCGACAAATAAATAAAATAAAATCTTAAAAAAAAAACAAACATGGTAATAAAGAAGAAAATGGTGGGGCGCCTGGCTGGCTCAGTTGGTGGAGCATGTAACTCTTGATCTCGGGGTTGTGATTTCGAGCCACACGTAGAAAATACTTAAAAAAATAAAAAAGAAAAAGAGAAAGAAGAAAATGTAAGATCCCTTCTTTATGGATCTAGTAACTTATTAGGAACAGAACGCAGTTCTTCACTTTAGTCCTCCTAAGAGCGTTTTTACCCGTCCACTCTCTCACTCAGAACCTTCGATGGCTCCCCATTTCCTCCATCTGGCCCCAGCCAATCTCCCATTGCTCCCTGGGTGAACATTCCCCTCTGGCCACACGGGCCATTGTTATCTCCAAATCGATCTCTCCCCTCATTTTTACACTTTTCCACCTGCCCATAACGTCTGCCTTTCTCCTCTTTCAGATCTTTGCCAAATCTCTATTCCTCCCAATGCTGTACCTGACTCAGCCTCTAATTACATCTTCCTCCTCTTCAGGAATACAGTGTTCTCTACAGCTAATCATGTTTGTGCCAACGTTTGGAATTCTGAATGTTTTTCATTTAACCACTTGCTTTCATAATAAGATTAATAATTCAAGGAGAAACAGTCTAACCATTTTCTTCCTTGACTCCTCCAAGCCTAGCAAATTTCTTGGCACATAATGGGCCCTCAAAAACGATTGATTCAGATACCTTTTTGACGGTGGGGTTGAAACTGCACCTGACTTTTGGAACATGCACCCCCTCAGGGGATAAAAGCCACCATATTAAATTCCAAGGTAGCAATAATTGCGTCCATATATGTAGCGCGCCTCCTAGTCAACAAAGTGCTTTGACAGACCATCACCTTCTGTCATGATCCTCAACACAGCTATCTCTCATGATCCCCAACATAATCACAGGAGATAGCGAGGTGTCATTATTCTACCCCATTTCGTAGATGAGGAACTAAGGCTCAGAGAGGTTCAACTACTTGCCCAAGGTCACACACCTGGTACATAGTGCATCAGGACTTGAATTTAGGTTTTTCAATGATAACTCAGCTCTTCACCCACATTACTCTCACCAAAGAGGCCAGAGCTGGGAGGGTCTGAGGCAGGGGGAGCCGGGAAGCAGGGGCCTTCACTTACCGGTCGGTTTTCATACTCCAGGCAGGGGCAGGTGATAGTGCAGCCATCCAGAAGGATCCGGCCCTTGGGAGGGGTCACCTTCCGACCCCCCTCAAGCTTGTAGTACAGCAACGTGTTTTGCCGAAGGATGAACCATCGTGCCTTCCAGTTGTGGACAATGTGACCCTGAGGACGGACAGGAGAGCCCAGCAGTGAGGTGGCTGAGGGGACCAAAGAGGGGGACAGCATTATCTGTTTTTAAAAAAACCTCATTTTATTTTTTTAATTTTAAAATAATTTCAATTCAGAGGCACCTGGGTGGCTCAGTCAGTTAAGCGTCTTCCTTCAGCTCAGGTCATGATCTCAGGGTCCTGGGATTGAGACCTGCATCACGCTCCCTACTCAGTGGAGAGTCTGCTTCTCCCTCTCCCTCTGCCTCCTCCCCACCCTGCTCATGCTCTGTCTCTATTTCTCTCTCTCTCTCAAATAAATAAATAAAATCTTTAAAAAAATAAAATAATTTCAATTCAGAGAAAAGCTGAAGAATAGTATTAAAGAACTTTTTTACAGAATCATTTAAGAGTAAACTTTTAACATGATGTTCCATCACTTCTGAATATTTTATTGTGTATCTCCTACAAAAAAGGGGAGGGGAAATATTTCCAACATAACCACGATGCAAACATCAACATCAGGAAATTTCCATTAATATGTTATTTTCATTGATTCCACAACCCCCATCCAAGTTTCACCAATTGCCCCAATAATGTCCTTAATAGCCAAAGGATCCAGTTCAAAAATCATACCTTTTATTTTCATTTTCATGAAAAAAGTGTTATCTGTCTGGATCTCCTTGTCATCTCTTTTGAGTATGTAACAAAGACCTTTGGCATTGACCTTCTAGTTCCCAGTTGGCCTTTTTTGTGATTATAAACCTTGAAAGAAATTGTGAAGTCCCAGAAGAGAGAATCCTACCACTAGGAGACAGTCATTGCTAACACTTTGTGTTTTCTTATAGTCTTTTTTTCTCTTCGTTTTTACTTTCTGGTTTTTAAAAAAACCAGGACCATGTTACCTATAGTTTTATTATCTAGTTTTTGTTTTGTTTAGCTTTGCTGAGCATCTTCTCACACCAATATGTTTCTTTAAAACATTTTATTTATTTATTTATTTTTTAAGATTTTATTTATTTGACAGAGAGAGACACAGCAAAAGAGGGAACACAAGTAGGGGGAGCAGGAGAGGGAGAAGCAGGCTTCCCGCGGAGCAGGGAGCCCGATGTGG